TTTTTGGTCACTGGAGATTAAGATTGAAGTTTACTGTATGTGAAAACTTCTTAAATAAGTATGAGTTTGTGCATATTTCTATCTCATGCTGTGTCAATGGTAAATAAAAAGTAATACTGAAAACCAGAAGTTATTTGACAATACCATCATACAACAGACATCCACCACTTTCCCCTATTATATGCTTGTAAATTATACGAAACATGCACTCAAATATGCAAGGGAAACTGAACTCAGTAACACTGTAAACTAGTGTGAAGTGTCTGGAATACTGCAGTGAAAGAATCAAGAGAATATCTTGTTGAGAACACGAGAAACTGCAATTTAAAACACTTGTGAAAGTAGCTGGCAACTGCAGAGTTCAGGGATTGTTATGACTAGATGCGGTGACATCAGAGCCTGGTGTTCAGGCTTTCCAATATAGGGGGCAGTGTCAGAGTGCAGGCACACGTGGCCTCCCCCCCCCCTTCCCAGCAGGGTTTAAAAATACCCTTTAAAGGTTGCTGGGGAGAAGTGGGGACTTCCAGTCCCCAACATGATGTCACTTCTTAGTGAAATCATCACGCTGGGGACTCCCCACCCCCTCTAGTAACGATCCCCCAAAGTCCCTCGCTGGAGACTTCAAGGGACCTGGCAACCCTATGTGGCAGTGCCAAGAGGCAGTGGATCTGTGATTTTTCTGGTGTAATCTGTTGGCTATGGGCATGACATGTGGTTTTATGCTGAGTTTGGGGTGACTTGACACAAAAATCATGAGGATCTGTGTGTTGGAACTATGTTTTTGCACCGTGGCAGTTTCATGAAGCGGTGAATGTATGGGTTTTTGGTGCTGCCGATAGACTGAGCCATAATCTACGATATGACGGTGGTTTTATTTTGTTTCAGTGTAAAAATCATATGAATACTGAGGATCCGTTTAAAATTATCTAGATCCAACTTTTACCCAGTCCCCATCAGATGTATGGAGTACTGTTTGTCTAACTGTTTCTTCCTCTGGAAGGTCTGGATATGTGAGGTTCCCTACCACAAAGAGAAAGCCTTTCTGTTGCTACACCTCAGAGACACCATATCCTGAATACACCCCATTTTTTCAAACATGTTAATGTCCATCATGTCCCATGTCAGCAGCCTATACTCACTGCTTCATTGGCAGCCAGAAAGCCTCACCAAGAAGTCCGGGCTGCTAAGGCAAGCAAGCACATGCCCAAGCACCTGCCGCTTGCAAACTGAGAGCCACTGGTTCCTTCTCTGGGTCAGTCAAAAGCGAAGCGCTTAAGGAAAAAACAGACAGACACGCTCTGGTTTCAAATCAAATCTTTTTATTTATTTATTTATTTATTTATTTAAGTACCCGAGGGTATTTTTTCATTCAAGCCTCAGCTGACATCTTTAGGCAGAAAAATATCACATCAGAAGTAGCTAGAAAGTACGCCTTATTTAACATTAACTAGAATGACTAAAGATTACACTTCTGAAAAGGTCAGTGATAACAGAGATCCTTTGCTTTAGTCATGCCAATCGTGCCATGTGAGGAATATACAGAGTATATAATAATGGGATGGCTCAGTAAGTGCCCTTTGCTAAGGCATCGTACAGTATAAAGTGAGATTTGGTGGGAGGGACTGAAACACAGACAACATTTAGGCCACCATAATGGAAGCACCAGGACTGAGCAAATATATGAGAATGAAGGAACCTTAGAGTCAAATGATTCAAATAGCAAAGAAAGAACATTCACCGGGGAATATAAAATGTTTGAAGTGGGAATTTCAACACCCTTTGTTACTGAAAGCCATAGTTCAAACCAGGCCCAGAGAATGAAGTAATTATGTTGAATGGTGCCATTTTTATTAACATGACCTTGAAAGTTCCATGAGAGTCTCCAAATTACAGTTTTAAATTACATGGACACATGCTGGGGGGGGGGGGGGAGTATGGCTTCAACACTCTTGCCTTTCGAAAAGCCCTCGAAAGAAGGGAGAGTCAGAGGCTTGCTGATCTGCACCTTTTTGCTCAGCCTGAAGACTTTGCATTATGGTAAGTAAATTCCTTTTTGTATGATGCATACTTCAAAGCATAGTAACATTTAAACAGTTTCAAACCAGCCTCCATATAATTTTTAGCAAAGCAGAAGATTAATGCTCTTTCACTGAACAGGCATGCAAAATCAAAACCGTCAAATTTCACAGTCCTTTGTAAGGGGATTAAGGACTATAAATTCTTTATTCTGGGACAAACATATTATAATAATCTAAAACAGACAGGGATTTAAAAAAAAGTCTGGGAAATCAGTCAATCAGTATGGCTTCAACACAGTTAGTGTTAAGTATTTATGACAACAGTGATGAATTGCCTTGCCTTCTAAGCTATGGCATCCCTTTTTATTTTCAAGTATAGCAGAAATCATCTTTTACTGCATGGGAACACTTATTGGCTAGTTTGCAGAGACTGATCTATTTCACAGCAAGCAATGACACTTATAGAAGCAATGTAAGAACATCTTTTCAGTGCTTATTTCATAAAGCTTCCATCTTAAAAGAGTTGATTGTATACACTGAGGTAAAAAACCCTAAACCCTCAATTTCCTTTATGTACAAATGTCCAGTACAGATCTCTTTCCTAGGCCATGAGAGCTCCCCAAGAAGTTTAAATGTTTTTTTTCTTTTAAATTCCAGTAATAGAAAAATAGCCACTGGGATGCTTGCCTTACTTCTACACATTCCAGTTACAGATGTGCTTTTTGTTCCTTGGTATAGCAAAGCACTATAACTATATTCCCTTCACCAGAAGGGGTCAAATGGGGTCTGCAGTGGCAAACTTCCCATTCAAGCAAGCTGTGTTTAATAATTACTGCAGCCACAAACTAAAAAGCCTTTAACAAGGATGGAGTATCCCAAGACCACACACGCTTTAAATTTTTTAAGCGTCCTGGTTTTTAAAACCTAACTGGCTGTTTTCTCCATACATGCAAGATGAAGTGTATACACGGTTGAGGGAATAAGCTTCAGTGACGCTAGGACACTAATAAGTTATTGGTTTAAGCAAAGTATGGGGACGGATCATTTTGTTAGTCGGAGCAGTTTTCTGTATTGGGTACAGGATCCAGCAACTCAGATCATACACAATACGACACACTGAATAACACACATAAAATTGTGTAACAGCTTCCATAACATATTCAAGAATTCGCAGCAATTTCAAACACATGGGCCGGTTCCTCCCAATAGTAATTCACATATTTAACAATATTTTGATCTTTGCAGAGCAAGCACATGTTTTAAAAATGTGCAAGACTTAAAGAACAGCCAAGACAAGTAGTAAAAAACACATTTTATTTGTATGGAAAAGCTTCAAGTCAATTTGTTAAAAGGTCAGAGGTTATATTGCCCACGTGGGATTAAAAAAAATGTCAGCTGTGAACAGAACAAAATTAGTTACAATTTCTTTCTACAGAGCAGTGCAATTAGTTCACATTGCAATAAAATTAAGTACGCAACAGAATCAAAACCAAGTGTTTCCCCATAATCGGCATACTGAGAATTAAGAGTGCAAAGTTCTGTTTAAGTCTATCAGTTTACAGAGTATTCCTTTAGGAAGGAAAATGTCTCTCATTTCATAGCAGTTGTCTTTCATCAATACTGTGCAGAAAATCTAAAATGAGTTGACTCGCACGGTAAATAAAATATAGTCTATACAGTAAAAAAAAAATACAAATTATACATGGAACTAACAAAGAAAGAAATTCAGACAGGCTTACAGAACCAACATCTCAAAGACACACAAAGAATATTTCATGTAACACCTAGTTTTTCAGCAAAAATAATTTGGTTGCTCTACAACTGCATTATGGATCTTGTAGGCTGGAGATGCAGATGTCCAAGTATCTTTAAAAAAAACATAATAAATGTCTTTTGCAAAGCATACAAAAAGGATAAATACTCTCATCACAGTCTTCAGGTTAAATTTCGTAGTTATTTCCTTGTTCCAGAAACACATTTATACGGGTGAAAATCAAAAAAGGGCCTTCATGGTACACTGAAACAGTAAACTGTGCTCCACTTACTTCTAATTTTGAAAAAACCCTAGAATTTACAGTACTCTGGTATATATGAAAAAGTCTTCAAAGTTTACATTGCATATTTCTGTGTCCATTCTCTTGCATGTCTGTTATATCTGTTAAAGAGAGTAATGAAAAAAGTTACAGTGATGTCAACGCAGATAAAATGTACAGATTTTGACAAGCTATTTCTACCAGTTATTCATGACCTTGACAAGTTGTATGCTGCACTTAGCATGATCTCCTTAGGACCAATGTGAGGAAGAGCAGACTTAAGCAGGATGAGTAATGGTATACAGAAGCATGCCTGCCCAAGCAGAAGAACAGGTGTTGGGTAGGAAGGTGTGGTTCTTTGCCAAGTCAAAGAACTATGTGGGATGTAAAGTAAGAATGGTGCTAGTGGCTTCCAGAGAGAAGCAGGGAGTTGGGGAAAGCAGGCAGGTGCCACTGAACTCTATCTGAATACTAGTTTTGCAGGCAGGCCACCAAAGGTGCAAAAACCTGCTGCTGGCCCCTGGAAAGGGTTCACAGCTGGTTGTTGTCCTTGGAGCATGCATGCAGTGGATCCATGGTATTGCTTAAGATATGGCTGCATAGAGAGCATGCCAGATGAAGAGGTGGCTAGCCAGTGTAGTGTAGTGGTCAGAGTGTCAGACTAGCATCTGGGGGACCCAGGTTCGAATCACCAATTTGCCATGAAAGCATATTTGGTGACCATGGGCCTAATTTACCTCACAGGGTTGTTGTGAGGATAGATTGGAGGAGAGGAGAATGTAAACAGCTTTGGGTCTCACTGGGGAGAAAGGCAGTGTATACATGAAATAAATATCAGTTGCACACACACACACACACACTCGTGCCATGTCTATGAGCAGCAACATAAGAAAATGTAGAGGCAGAAGCATTCTACAGGGAGTATAAAAAGATGCAAAGGGAAATGGAGCAAGTGACATGGAGACAAGTGATAGGCAAGTGACTGGAGGAGATAATGGGCCTTAATTTGGTAGTGGGGGACTCTGGGATAGTGAGCCAGCACCTATCTCATGCCCCCATAGTACACTCTGAATCTCTTTTCATGTGACCTAACTCATGATATGGTAGGAGAGGCTTATAGTTTGAATTGCAGAAATATCAAGCAAATGGACTGGCTCATTCAGTATTGTAGTAAATTCTTTACCACAAAAGCTTACTAAACGAGGGAAGCGCACAGATAAAACTGGCCTACTTACCTTTTATGACAGTGGGGAGAATAGATCCTTAATGCCAGCCAAACCTACATATCACTGCCTCAGTCTGCTCACAGTTATGTCATACAATTTTAAGATAATGAACCTAACAGGTAGCATAAAACAGCTGAAACCTCAAGCTCAGGGTAATGCATTTGTACTGAATTACAACTGAATTGCAACTGAAGTACACCTCAACTCAAGTTCAGTTTTTGTTGTTGTTAAATATATTTATTAAGTTTTTAAGCTTTAGACAACAAACACACACGTATAACACCACCAAACATACATCCCTACACCGATTAAGCCCTTATTGTATACTTAGACAAGATCAACAGCACATTTACTCATATGTCCATACCGTATACCACACTTATTTTCTATACACACAGATTAATATAACCATCATTCCTTCAATAACTGAGTTTTCCATTGTTATCAATATTCAAATCCAGTCTGCGTTGACTAAACCTCTCTATTCCTATAGCCTCTTGAGGTTAGTTAAGTGTAAGTCAAGTTCCAACTCTTATCCCAGCTCCATATCTTGTCAATTCTGTGTATTCAATATAGGGGTTAAATTCATACTTATTTTTCTTTTCTTTTCTTTTTTCCCCCTTTTAACTCAAGTTCAGTTTGTTGAAGAACACAAAAAGCAGTATGTGGAGCTGCCTTCCCAAAATTTGCTGGTATAATCATTTAACATTTAAAGGGCAGATTTAGAAAATTTGGCAAAAGGAGTGTGTTATCTAGGAATATCAGCAAGTACATATATTAAAGTCAAGCAAGGAGACCATCACTTCAGTGTGACAGTAAACTTCTGTATACGTATGCTGTTTCAGTACATGACAGAAAAGGCTAACAAATAATTCTACAGAATCTGATGCTTTAAATTTAACAGTTGCAGATTAGAAATATACGATTTAGGGCAAGAAGAGAACTAAATTAGCAGATATGAGAATGGCATGTTAAGGTTCTGAGGCAGTAGACTTGTAAATTTTGCAGGGGGTAAAAACATTGCAGGAAAGCATATTGAAAGCATAAAGCAGAAGCGGCAAAGAGAGGAGTCCAACAGCAGTCAGCAATCTTTTTTTTAAGTCTTATGTTCATACTTACTTTTCCTTGTCTGACTTGTAGATTTGTGCAATATCTGGTACTAAAGGGTCATCTGGATTAGGATCACAAAGTAAAGAGCATATGGACAAAAGAACTAGATTTAAAAAAGAAAACTCTATTAGACAATAACTTGAGTATAGTAAATAAAGCCAAAAGAAGAGATACTACCTTGTCATTCTTTAACTTTACGAAATTATGAGCCTTCTCTTAAATACAGTAGTTTTTGTGCACACAAATATGCAGGCCCATATATTTGGATAGACTTAAATGGCTAACCCTTCTACTTCAAGAGACAGGGACTGCTTCCACACCCTCTCCTATTAATCTAAGGAAATGGGCTGCAAGAAGTCAGGTGCTTGAACTCTACTCTTCCCCTCCAGCAGTTCCAGTGTGCATGGTGTGTGGGGTCACCATTCACACCATGAGAGTACCACAGCCTTTACTGTTTTAAAGGTCTACCACCAATAAAAGCAAGGAATACTCTTTATTGCTCATTGGTATCCCCACCATAAGCTTTAGAGACCATGCAGCAGTTCCAAGATGATCTGATCAACGTATGTTTGTCAGATCCAATGAACCATGAATGGAACAAGTTTACTATTTAAAGATACTTCTGTACTGCCTTTCTTCACCTTACAATGAACTGAAATTCATGGAACATATCTCTACCTCTTTTCTCTGCAGCTTCCTGACTTCTCTGAAAACATGCCCCCAAGAGTCAGGGACCGATGGTAACAGAATGGGATACAGCTGGGTTTGGGGAAAACTGCAGCTCAAGGGCAATAAGCAGAAACCAACTTCTTGCAGTAGCTTTTTTCTGGATGAAGCAAGAGTTCATACACAAGCAAATGGGCAATTTCTGTCAATTCCGATTTCTTGCTGCAGCTTCTCTTACCATATCCTGTTCTGTTTGAGAGTCCCACGACCTTAAGAGGCAACTTCTCAGGGGTACAGATGAAGGAGGGGAATCTGTTTCTTAAACCTGTAGATCCACATTTCATTGGATCCAACCCAGCATCTTATTTGGCCAGGTACTTGTTCAACATGCATTTGCCAGGAACTAAAGAGCTCCTTTAGGAAAGCCCCAGATCTAATGGGATTTTAGATTTTTCTCCTCTTTACAGTGAAGACCTCACATCAAAAACCAAACTGCTTTTGAGAGCAGTTTGTTGCCACGTAGGGAGCTGCTGCAACAAAAAAAGGAATGCCTACCCCCACCCCCAAAGGCCTATGGGACTAGTCGAGTAAATTTTTACGACTGTATTAACCACTGCAAGTCATTTTTAACATAACATTAAATTAGTATTCAGTTACCAGGCAGTTTTATGTAAACTGTTACAAGTGTCACTTCAATGTGATAAGAGTAATCTCTCATTCCAAAAAAATGGCTTCCCAAGACGTAACACTTAGGTTAAAACACATCTGAACTCCGAAACATTCCAGAGCACACCACAATCCTATACACACCTTCTTCCAAAGAAAGGACCCTGGCAACACACACAAACGTTTTGTATAGCTGGATCTTATTCTCAGTGAGCCCCCATTACTAATAATGCTAGAGATGCTGCAATGTTACTCTATTTCTATTATGGCTTTGTTCCACACTTACATTATCTTCTTAAATGGTTGGGGGGGGGGAGCTCATTGTACTTAGGAACCGAGGCAATGACAGCTCAGGTCTTGTACAGCTTGTTACTTCCTCTCTGTGTCTTTTAAATGTGAGGGTCACAAATGAGGAATGTTTACTTGTGTGGGAAGGAAGGTTCAAGTGTTTAACTTGCCTACTTCCCCTCCATACACAAACCATGTTGCAGATGCTTCTTAGCTGAAGGGGCACAAGGCCAGATAGATAAATGCCGATTTTAAGCAAAGGTGGATTACCCCGAAAACAGAACAGTTTTCCTTTGTGGGTAGAGTGCATGGATTCCCGCCCCTCCCCCCAGCTAATATGAGAGCAGCAGTAGTACAGAATAAGATCCTGTGAAAACTTTTATGGAAATACCACAAGCAGTAGAAAGCATCTCCTTTTACCTAAACATAACAGTCATAAACTACATGGGGAACAAAAATAAACGAACAAGAATTTTAGCCTAAAAGCAGGCACAGTATCCTTTACAAATAGGGTTACCTTTAGATACAGTCAGAGCAGGTGACCATTGTGACCTCAGGATATCAAGACAAATACTCCCATTACTATTTATGTTTGGATGATATATTTTTGTTGTGAATGCAATCTGTAACAGAAGAATTGCAAGTATTTTTTCAGTGTTGGAACCACACACACATTCCCTGTATTTTATTTCTCCATCTGACATCTCTCAAAGCACAATGTCTTGGCTTTATAACAAACAGTGATACATTCTGTTACACAATCTGTTACTAATACACAAGAAAGAGCAGATATAGTTCTGTTCCCCGGGTAAGATGACATAAATCTGCCTTATGTTAAACGGGCTACGTAGAACATGCCGATCCAACCCTTCTGGTGGCTCCTAAATTCTCAGAGAATAGACAGCCACACAAAGTATTTTAAAACTTATATGTCTTCCACTGTCAATAAAGGGCAATCTTGGAAAGAGCTATGAATAATGCATGAATGACAGCTACAGTAAAAACTCACTGCAAAATTGAGATTTCCACAAATAAGACCAGCGATCCTAAATCAGCAAGTGCGAAAAATATCTTAGAACAATGTACTCAAGTCAGATGAACATTTACAGAGGGCCTTGACCAGTGGTTTTGGAATGGAACTCTGAGGAAGCCTACAGTTCTCTGGAAAACTTGCCAGGGTTCTTCAACAAGAATATAAAGAGTGTAGAGAAGCTTCCCCAAAAGACAATATGTTGCTCACCACTGGAAGTTTTTTTCATAAAATGTGCAGCTGCAGGAGAGTTTTGGATGCATTCTAAGGTTATGGCTTATGCAGCACAATGATGGGGTCTCACAGGGCTAGTCCAGATACCACATTTTCATCCCATGCTCAATTTTGTTCTGATCCCAGAATCCTCTGCAAAATGCAGGGGTTTCATGCCATGTGGAAATGGCTCCTGGAAGCTCGAAAACCACAAACGTAAAATTAATTGTGTACAACCCTATTGAACTGATGCATACAATGGGTTGGAGACCCTCTAAGTTCCATATACAGAAGCATGCCTCCTCCTTCCCACTGCAGCCCAAAATGCTGACTGAGGGACAGCCTCCCCCAGAGGAGAGTTGGAGAGCTGCTAAGGGAACGGCAGGCAAGAGGACACCACTGGTAAAAATCATGCCTCTTTCTCTCTTTGATGAGATCGAAACATTTTATTTAAATTCTCATTTTTTAAAGTGTTGAATTAAAAATAATGGATGCTGAAGGGAAAACAGCACCGGCTGTTGCCAATTGTCCTCAGTGTTGCAGTAATCAGCTCTCTTCCTTGAACTCTTCCTCTTCAGATATTCTCCAGGGTGATCCTTATGCATTTAACTCAGACAACTAGTAGCCAATCTCAAATCTAAAGAAAGGAAAGCTGCATCTAGTTTGTTATTAAGTGTTTACCTTTGGTGGTTTGAATGGGTAGTCTGTTGGAAAATGTACAGTGAGAAAAAAGACTCCCCCTTGATATGCACTGTCAGGCTGAAAAAGAAGCACATTAAGAAGGCAGTACTTTCAGACAAGGATTTTCACACACGAGTGAATCTGAAGACTGTACCCATTTGGGATCAAAATGTCACTAGCATATTGTTCAAGTTCAATGCCTCTGGGCCTGTTGACTAACAAGAGCACTGTCTGCAGACATCACCTTGAATTGTGTTACAACAGACTGTACAGAACTACTGAAAAGTACTTTTGGGGGGAAACCCCCTGAAATTAAGCTTCACAGGGAACATCCACAAAGGTGGATCCTAGCACACGTTTGGGATATAAGTAGAACTAGAGCTGCTACATTACAATGTGCAGCCTCCTCCGAACTTTAACACCCAGACCAACAGACAGCTACTTAAAACATCTGGTTTCTATTTGCAGGAGTATTTTCCATTATTTTTCAGCTATTCAACTTAACTATGATAACCTTTCATAGCAGTCAGGCTATCCAGTAATGGTACGTAGACGACGCCTTAGTTTACAACACGGAAGTCCTATTAGAAAGACTGGTTTTAGTGAGAACAGTGTCAAACATTAGTATTAAATCATCTTGAATCATCTAATGAAATGATTCTGAGATGTTTATCCAGAACAGTTCTCAAATTCCTATTTCTAGATCCAGAAAGTAAGGCATGATTACAAAAAAAGGGGGGGGGGGGGGGGGGGGGGGAGAACCAGCCTGTCCAGGGCTCTTATGTGGATCGTGAGCAACTGATACAAGGGAGGGAGTGCTGGGAGGGGGAATGGGCTTCAGCACAGCAGAACAACCTTGTCTGCAGCAGTCACGCATCATGGGAACATCTGCCCAGTGCTGCACTGCTGCCTCTCCAATCCGCCTATGTGGGTTTTCCTCTGTATCCCCCCTTTCAGCCCATGGGGCCTTGCAGTGAGGATACACCAAGTCTGAGCTTACCAGCTGCTGTCCTTTATACAGTTTGTATCTCCGGTACCTGGCATTACATTTTATGGCACGCGTGGCCCGGCCCAACAAAGTTACATTTATTTCAGATCCGGCCCTCGTAACATATGAGTTTGACACCTGTGGCCTAGACAGACACAGGACCCAAAATGCAGCAGATACTAAAACAGACAATGATGGGCCAAGTACAGGATGAACACTGGTTCCCTGTTAAAAATAAATGAATGAAAAACCAGCTTTGGAAATGTGCTCTTTTGGCGATCCACCCCCCCCTTTAACTGAAGCTAAAGCTGATTCTGTTAAAGCAGATTCTCAAACTGTGCCTGAATTGGGTTTTACATCCTTAGTTTACTTACTGCCATTATATCCTGTACAAGACGGGGAACCGCGATACTCGCGGGGGGGGAAGAAGAGCTTCGTCTCCTCCACCCGCCCCCCGCTCGATCTCCCCGAGGAGGCGGTGGCGAGGCCTGTCCTCCCCCCGCCTGGCTCCGAGGTGGTGGCGAGGCCGGTCCTCCCCCCACCCGCCCGGCTCCGAGGCGGAGGCGGCGGCGGAGGGGCCGGTCCTCCCCCCCTTTGCCGGGCTCAGCGGCGGCGGCCGGTCCTCCACCCGCCCACCCGGCTCCGAGGAGGAGGAGGAGGCGGCGAGGTCAGCTACAGAGCATTCCATGCGCATGCGCACGGAACGCTCTTGCACTTTCGGGGGGATTTAAACATTCCCCCAAAAAATTTTTCTACTTTTAGCATTTTTGTGCACATGTGGGGACTGGCCCACGTGTGCACAAACCTCCCCCTCCCCCCCAAGTGCCCCCGGAGCACTGATTTAGCGATCCGCACTCCGGGGAAACTTGGCTATTAGATATATAGATTTTCCATGGAGCCCAGAGTAGAGTACGCAGGGCACTCTGGTAGTCTCCCACCAGGGCTCAGACCTGCTTAGGTTCACCAGGCTGCCTGTATAATGTACCCTGGATTTAAGGGTACACTGATTAGCCTTAACTGGAGAGGAGGAGATTGGAAGAAGGAATCTGCTCAGGAGAGGATGGTTGTATGGGAGAGGTTATGCATGTTTGATGCTGGCTAATAAAATTTTTTGTTGACTCATACAGATACCACCCAGACTGTTAAAAACAGAGAACATTTAGAAGAGAACTTGTAACACAAATCTATTTCCTGCTTCTAATATATTACCATCATAGGACGGTTCAGTAAGTAGTTCTCTTTAACTGGCCTGTCTTGAACATCATCATTTCCTCCCTCATTTTTCCATTCTGCTTAAAGATGAATCATCCACCATTTGTTGCAATTTCATAAACCAAAATCAGCAGTACTATCAAAAATAGAAAATATGGATGAACTTCTCACAACTGCAGCCGCTAGCAATCAGGTATTTTAGCAAACATTACAAATATTCTATAGCGGGGGTCCACAATGCAGTACCTGTGGGCACCCTGGCGCCCACCAATACTATTCCTGCTTTTTTTGTTCCTGCTGCTCGCCAAGTGTTTTTAAGTGGGTGAGATGAGGTGGGCCTTTTGCCCAATAAGGATTCTGATTGGACACTGGAGATCCAATTGGCTGTGCAGATTTGTGAAAATGTTGCTTCTGCAGCAGCTGCCACCACAGCTCAACAATGTGTGACTAAAGGTAAACTGCAGCAGGCATTGTATGGTTGGCTCCACCTCCCGCGGCAGCCATTTTGTAGCTGCACCCACCACACTGTATCAGAAGTCCACAAATGCCCATAGGCTCAAAAAGGTTGGGCCCCCCTGTTCTATAGGAAGACTACGCCCAACCACTAACTGGTTGCTCAGTTCTCAATGACCGTATCTTTATGCATGTTTTTGTGACCTTTACATGCTCGTGATCTTTAAAAAGAAATCAAACTATGTCCAAAAGCAACTGGAATATTGTACTACGAAAAGCAGAAATCTGTAACCTGTATAAATTTGGCAACTGTACTCTCCCATTTTGAGTAACATATTCAGAAGTTTTTGTTGTTCTGAATGTTTTGGGAGGGATCTACTGGGAAAATTGTATACTTATGAGGTGTCAAGAGGCACTGCACGTGTGCTTGCAAACATACTGGCACAGCCATAATGGCTAGAAATGTGTTTATTAAAAAAAAAATTAGAGCAAAGATTCTCAGGAAAATGAATTTTATACCTCTTAACCCTCTTCTGCACTTTTTCTGTGCTCTTGCACAACTGCAGTCTACCTCTATCCTTGCTTGTACAATTCGAGCACTATAACCAAGGAGTTTCACATTAGAAGCTGAAAGCTTTAGGAACTCCGAGCAAAGATCTTACAGAGCTTAATTTGGTGCAGGACTAGAACTTAATTTTAACACTCTCTGTAATACAATGGAAGGCTTCACTGACTAATCAGTGCCCCCATATCTGGAGTTCCAAACAGAACTACTTAAAAAAGAGCTCCCTGCATCCATCCAGGCTTGCACATCTGCCTAGTACTTGTTATGAGATTAATGGCTGGAGCCTGGGACTCTGACCAGAGACATCAAGCCTCAAACACCTGCTCAGCCATGATAGTCATGGCCTATTCTCTCTCTTTCCCCTAACCTACTTCATAGGGCTACAGAAATAATAAAAGAGGAGCAAAAAACTATTGATGATACCCTGAGCTCCTTGGAGGATAAGCAGGATAAAAGCGTGATGAGTTTTAGATGTTTACTACAGCACCAAGTGCAATATACTTATAAAGCTCTATTTCAGGGGTCCTGAACCTGTTTGAGCCTGCAGGCACCTTTGGAATTCTGACACAGTGTAGTGAGTGCAGCCACAAAATATCTGCTTCCGGAGGTGGAGCCAGCTACAAAAATAGCCGCTGCAGTTTATCTTCAGTCACGCAGTGAAGATCCTTGTGGTGTGATAACACCTGCTGTCAGAGCAACTTTTTTAAAAATCTGCACAGCCAATCAAATCTCCAGTGGCCAATAAGAAGCCATGCTGGACAAAACCCCTGCCTGGCCCCACCCACTCTCTGAAAACACTTGGTGGGCACGAGGAACGGTGTTGGCAGGTGCCATGTTGGGGACCCCTGCTGTACTTTGTTCTAAAAAGCTACTACAGATTAGAGTGTAAAGTAAACATCAAGCTACCTAGAAAATGCATTAGACTAGGAAAATCCATTAGACTAGGCTACTAGCCCTCTAACAACCTGTTTGGGGTATTACTTTACCCTAAGCCAAATTCCAATGTATCTTACGGTAGTTCCAAAAACTGTTCTTTTGTGTATGATGTTAGAAAGGAAGGTGAGGGTTCCTTCTACTCTTTGAGGAAGAGAGGACATCCTGACATGGTTGATTCCCATCTGTTCATCAAGAAGACAGGACTAAAGTTCTTCCAGACTTCCTGTCTCCTGGACGGAGTCACCTACTTTCCTCAGTTCTGTAACTCCTGAAGCAGAAGCTATACTAAAATACCAACTAAACCATTCAACGTTTTAGGAAAAAGGAAACATGTTAGGACAAGAAACAGGAAGGCATTCACATGGAGAAAACAAGTTATTATCCCCACTTTTAGAACAGGGTGGGACACGATGCCCTCCTTTCCTTAGAGCAGAAGGAACCCTCATGGTAAGTGCTGATGTTCCTTTCTCACTCTGAGGAGGGCATCTTGGCATGGGATAGCCAAATGCCGTTGTACCCATGTCGGATGGGAAAATCATTTCACCTGCACCACTTGCTGTAGTACACTCCTTCAAAAGGCTGCATCAGCTGAGGTAAGGGTATTTATTAATTTGGTAGTGTCTGACAAAAGTTCAACAGAAATCACTGCATGGCCACCTTACAGACTTCTTCAATGAAAGCTTCAGTGTCCAATGCTGCATTGGTTGCAGCACTATGAGTGGAGTGAGCTGTAATTCCAGGTGGTTCCTGGAGGTTGCTAGCTTGGTAAGCATGTGAGATGTGCTGCTTCAGAGTCTTATCACCTGTCTCAACATTTTCTATCCCTTGTTGGGCAGGCTCACTGAGATGAAGAAAGTCCATTTTACAAACTGATGCTGTGCACCTGATGTAAATCCCAAGGGCTCTGCGAAGATCTAGCATCTGCCTGTCCTTTGCTTTGCATGGGATGGTTTTGGGCAGAATGAACGCAATAATATTTCCTGAGAGTACTGGAAGTATTGACTTTCAGAATGAATGTTAGATCTACTCTTAGGACCACTTGTCTTTGTGAAAAACACACAGACCTTTCTCTGAGAAGTTACAGCTATCAGAAACAGCACCATTCTCAACCACTTTAGTGAAACTTCTCAGAGGTTCAAATGGAGGTTAAGTGAACGTCAAAAGGACTGTGTGTAGTTGCCAAGATGGAAATCTAGGGACAACTGGAGGGTTGACATGGTACTTTGAGAAAACCAACCATGAGGATGTCTGGATTTTGAGCATCCCTCCAGTTGTGGGTCTGCTGTAGCCAAGACTGCCACTTGTTGACCAAAACATGCTACGCAGACAGCATCTTGCAGAACTCCAGGATTTGGTGTAACATAAGGGTGAATGGGTCTGGGTGTTTCCATTTCCACCACCTGGCATACACTTTCCAAGAAGTATAATACGTTCCTGATGTAGAAACTCTTCTAGAGGCTAGCATGATGCTTGTGACCCCTGTAGAACAGCCTAGCCTTACAATCTCCGTGTAATGAGGTATAGCCATGTTGGGTCTGGGTGCCACAATGGCCCTTTTTGAGGTATGTCCAGACAGACTGGAACCGGACAAGGATTCCACTAATGTTGAAAACCACAGTATGTGTGGCCAATTGGGGGCTATGCATATCTGGATTGCTTTTTATTGTCTCAATTGTCTCAGTGTCCTCAGCATCTTTGCTATTAGTGGAATAGATGGAAAGGCATACAGGAGGCCTGGTGGCCAGAGGGACCATTAAGGCATTTGTTTGATTGGCTCCCTCTGTCTGGAATCTGGAGAAGAACCTGGGCACACAGTGATTGAGCTACAACCGGCGCATATACTAATGGAACCTGTAAGAGATCCATAGCATGGTTAGGTAAAGAATAAACCCTTTTTGCTAAGCCTGGGTTGTGTTGAGTAGAAATAGGGTTTGCCTATTCCTCTTTCATTTGGTTCTCAAAGAATTCTGGGAATAACCCTAGTTTACCCACATTAGGTAATCTGGGGAAAACTTTGTTCTCTTTGAGTTTGGCTTTAGGACTGGCCTCTTCTTCCCCAGTTTCTGTGGACTTAGAGATTTAGTACCATCACAGCCTTGGCTAATAGTCCCTGATAGTCGTCTTGGTTAAAGAGACGTTTGGGTTGCTCTGGGACTATTATGTCCTCCTCAGACTTCCTCCTTATTGGAAACACTGACTCCCCTGAGCAGGGGGGGCTGGATCAATGTGAGAAGGGCACTGCTTCTTTTTGTACAACCTTAGTTAGCTAGGGCTGGTGTCCTGCAACCTGCTCCCTTTCTGGGGAATTCTCCCTGCCTCACCATCTAAACAATCCATGGGAAGGGTGTGTGTGATCTGGAGGAGGATCCTGAACAATATTTTTTTCTGGCTCCCTTGCAGGGACCAAACTTTCTCCAACAATGGATGGTGAAGCCAGCTTGCTATCTCTGGGTGGCACCTGGAAAATGGGGAGGGAGGGGAAGCATCTTTACCATGGTTCATGGTGGTGTTCTGTCTCTGTGACTGCTCTGCTGCAGCCATGAGTACCAAGCATCCGCCATCGGCGCACAGGATCTTCCCGCCAAAATTGGCTGCTGGTGTTGAGACCTCCTACGAGGTGCCATGCTCCTCTTGCCTCCTCTGCTTGCTGCCATTGGCCACTCATCTACTGGTCTGTGCCTGCTTGACCATGTTGGGGAGTAGTCCCTTCATCCTGTTTTTGGGAGGACAAGGGGGTCCCAGTCTTCCTTAGAAATGAAGCCATCTGTGGCTTCCTCATTCTCAGTGTCCATCATAACCTCAGCAACTCCACCCTCAGAAATGGGTGTGTGTGAGAAGTAGGCCAAAAGAAAGAATTTGAGGTATAAAGAAATTAGGTATAAAAGTGCAGAAGTATTAGGTGCCTTCTGCTGCACTGTTGGGGCCTTGCTGAGCAGCTCCTACCAAAAACCTGCTCTCCTTAACAAGGCAGGAAGCTGAAGAAAGTGGGTGACTCCACCCAGGAGGCAGGAAGTCTGGAAGAATTTTAGACCTGACTCCTTGATGGGCAGATTTATTTTTGATTTGATTTATACCCCGCCCTACCCCACAAACAGGCTCGGGGTGGCTAACAACATGTAATATATGGTTTAAACGGCACATCTCCCTTATAAATAAAAGCCAAATGGTAGTGGCAG